TCAATGATTTGTATTTTGGAAATTTTGACATTTTGTTTATTCTTCTTAAAATATTGCTTAATATTTATTCGTACAATGATTAGTAATAAATAACTAATTTAATATACATTTTTAATAAAAATTTTTTCAGAAATGTTATCTTCTACATTATAATAATCAAAATAATTATAAGTACCGATATGTTTAATTACACTATTACTATATAAAATAAAATAGTAACCAACATTATCTTTTAACTTGTAATAATCTCTAATACCATCATTTTCAACTTCGATTTCTTCAACCAAATTATCATTAAACAATACATTTTTATCAATATTAATCGTGTAAGCTTCTTCGTTAATAAATTTATATTTAAAATCACTTAAATTTAAAATATGGTCATTCAAAGTTAAATAAATACATATTTTTCCATCTTTACGAAAATTAGTTAATTTATATTCATTGTAAAAAAGTTGGCATATTAAATCATTTTTAAAATAAAGATTCGACTTTGTTATAAATAAAAAAGATTCTGTTCCATTATTGTTTTTAATTCTGGGATATTCATAATTATTATCATCATCGTATAATTTAAAATCATCTAAAGAACAAGGTTCGTTATTATAAAATAAAGTTATATAATGCCAAGCAATGAATCTTGTATCATCCTCAGTGATAAAAGATAATTTTTCTTTATCGATTTCAAAAACATCTTTAAAGCTTATTAATCTGGCCATTTCTTTATTATTTCAGTATTTCGAATCCAAAATTCTGTTACTTTTATATAAAAACAAAATTAATAAATCATGACAACAGTAGATATGACCCAATGGATCGAAAATTATTTTCATCAAATGCTTGATGAATTTGATGGTCCTTTATTAAAAGATGTTTGTATTTCTTCGAATATTATATTTTATTATCAAAATAATTATTAATTAATTTCATATAGATGAAAATAATAAACGCATCTAACGGAATAGTGAAATAACTATCCAATCAAATCATTTGAATCATATAAAAACAGCACATGGTGGAATGCTCATGACATTGGTTGATGTGTGTAGATCTCTCGTGATAGCTTCGAAAGGATTGAATTATTCCTCTGGTATTAGTACAAATATCAACATTTCGTTTACAAATCCTGCAAAAAAAGGAGATGTTTTACTCATAGAAGCAGAATATATAAAATTTGGCAAGGCTATGGGATTTGCTGATATAAAAATATACAACAAAGATACTAAAAAACTAATAGCTCAAGGTCAACACGATAAATATATTGCGATCGCATTAAGACAATCAGAATCAAAACGAGCAAAAA